TGGACTTCAACTCTGAGAATTCCTCAGCCAGGAATTCTGGGAATTGAAGTCCACAAGTTTTAAAGTTGTCAAGGTTGGAGACCCCTGCTCTGGTCCACCAATTTTGTCACTTTGTTAAAGAATGCAGTAAGATTTGTCTGGCATGATCTGTTCTTGATAAATCCATGTCGAAGCTTTGAAAATTTTCAGACATTTTTTGGCAGGGTTGGGAGAAAAGAAAGAAGCCCACATATGCTGGTGTTTAGTCTTTCAAATCAAAAGAACTTTAGCGTTTCTAAAGATGTAATCGTTAAACCACCATAAAAATAACGTACCTTGTGCAAACAGCTTTGGAAATTTTTGGTTTTGATTGGCTCTTGTAGAATTCCACTTGACACTTCAGTTCCTTGTTCTAGAAATTATATAAATATATACATCATATGAACCTCAAATATTAAGACAGATCGATGCTCAGCTTTTTTGCCTGCATGTTCTATAACAGTGGTAGCTAACCTTTCTGGGCTCCTGTGTGAAAAATTCCATGCACTTGCACACTCTCACTCACATGCCAGCACCCAGAAGGCAAGCGTGCTCCCCCATGTCCCCTATGCATACGTGCACAATCCACCCACTTACCCACGATGGCCCCTTACCTGCACTGCGCCTCACAGCTGATTTTCGGCCAGTTTGAGGCCTTTTTCAGCCTCCCAAAGGCTTGAGGAAGGCTTCTGCAGGCTTCTACAAGCTTTGTAGGCTGAGATCTAGCCCCGTTTCATCACTTCCTGTTTTTCTGAAAATACCGGAAGTGACAAAACGGGGCTAGATTTCAGCCTACAAAGCTTGTACAAGCTTGCAGAAGCCTTCCTCAAGACTTTTGAAGGCCAAAAAGGCCTCAAACCAGCTGAAAATCAGCTGTGAGGCATGCACATGCGGAGTGAGGTAAGTTTGCTTGAAGCTCATGTGCTGGCACAAATGGCTTTGCGTGCCACCTATGGCATGCATGCCATAGGTTCGCCATCGTGGTTCTATAGGATACCAGCAAATTGCAACTAACTAAAAAGATGGGATAAACACAGGTAGTCCTCAACTTACAACAGTTCATTTAGTGACTGTTCAAAGTTTCAACATCACTGAAAAAAGTGAGTCACGACAGTGTTTCACACTTACAACCGTTGAAGCATCCCCTTGGTTACAGGATCAAAATTCAGGTGCTTGGCAACTGGCTCATATTTATGACGGTTGCAGTGTCCCGGGGTTATTTTATGACCTTCTGACAAGCAAAGTGGGGTAACCAGTTTCACTTCACAACCGTGTTACAAATTTACCAACTGCAGTGATTCACTTAATAACAGCATTTATGTGGCAAGGAAAGTCGTAAAGGGGAACAAAACTCACTTAACAAATGTTTCACTTAGCAACAGAAATGTTCTGTTCAACTGTGGTCTTAATTGAGGACTACCTGTAGAAATGCCTCATAAATGTCATCACAAGACAGGCACCCTTGCGGTAGAGACAGCAACGCCTAAACTTGATCTCGCAAATTCCTAATTACTGAGAACACTGAAAAACCAAATGACTGAATCTGATTTAGATCTTGCAACATTCTTGTATTCTGTTGGAGCATACAGAAGGCTTGCCATAATGTTTAGGAAAGTGTATCAAAAACGATGTGTCCTGAAATTGATCCATGCAGACTTTGGGGGGTGATGGGGAGGAATGATTCAGCATAATGAATAGAACAGGTCTGAGTTTTCAAAGAGCAACAATAAAAACAATACAAGCAGAAGTGGAATGACTGTGGAAAAAGAAAGCAAAGATAGTATCAAGAGTAGTAATAGATGCACTGGGTGCAATTCCGAAACATCTGGAGAACTACTTGAAGAATATAAGCATGGAAAAAATCACCATCAGTCAATTGAGAAAGGCAGCTTTTATTTGGAACAATGTTTATGAAGATTCTCAATCATCCAGGTCATGGTTTTCCCAAAGATGCTTTTAAAAAGCCAACTGGATTTTATTGTTTTTTCCCCTTTGAAAATGTTTCACTTCTCATCCAAGAAGAGCTTCTTCAGTACAAAACTGAAGAAGCTTCTTGGATGGGGAGTGAAATCTTTTCAAGGAAAACTCCCCCAAAAGTCCAATTGCCTTTTGTAAAAGCACCTTTGGGACTTTATTTGGAGTAGCTTACATCCTGCAGCAACAATAACTTTAACACCATCACACAACATTTGACTATTCCAGGTCCTTGGTAGGTGGATAAAAATGGCAAATCCAGTCTAAAGATCTGGCTGACAGTCTGCCGAAACATAATAGTAATAATAATAATAACTTTACCTTTACTTGAAGCACTGCTACCTGGTCTTTTAAGTTTTCTATTCTTTCATCCTGATATTTCAGTTCATTATTCAGCCCCTCGATCTAAAACAATGTGGAAAAATTATTTAGTAGCAAAATATGCTAGAGGCAACTTCGAAGTCCATGCCTTCAAAATTCATGAGATTATTTCACAGCAGGAACCACTCCAGAGTAATATTTCACATTGCCAGAATTATATATACATATACATATGCATATGCATATGCATATGCATATACATACATACATACAGGTCTTGGCGTGTTCGGGTCTTTTCCCGTGTAAGATTGAGAATCTCAATCTTACAAAATCTATAAATATATGTATGTATGTATGTATGTATGTATGTATGTATGTATGTATGGTATTCAGCTTTGTTCGGGTATTTTCCCACGTCATAGTAGTTGTGCTTTTAAAGTTGTAGCAACGTTTCAGCAGAATCTCGTCTGCCATCATCAGGCTTCTGTATAGTGTTCGTCTGTGAGTCAGACCTTCATAGCCGTTTCTTTTTTGTGAAAGTCTGACTCACAGACGAACACAAATACACAAGCCTGATGATGGCAGATGAGATTCTGCCGAAACGTTGCTACAACTTTAAAAGCATAACTATAATGACGTGGGAAAATACCCAAACAAAGCTGAATACCATACATATAAATACCCGCGAAAACTTAAGAAAACATATATATAATTCTGGCAATGGGAAATATTACTACGGAGTGGTATATGTGGGTGTATGTATGTGAGTGTGAGTGTGTGTGTGTGTGTGTGTGTGTGTGTATACCGAAGTTTGAAGAATGATGTACTATAGAATCATATCATTTACAATCAAAAGTATTTTCAGATTTATCTAGAATTATAGGCAGTCCTCAGCATATAACCTTATGGAACCAGCCCAATACAGTTGTGACAATAGTAAAACAAAGTCAGTCATGTGGCAAATCTGATTTTACAACGTTTTTTGGTAGTGGTCATTAAATAAACCAATGGATGCGCTATGGACATCATTTTACCAAAAAACAGAAGTGCTATCACATGACTGAGGAATGCTGCAAATGCAGTAAATATGACCAAAGTTGCTAAGCATCTGAAATTTGGTCACATGACTGAGGAGGGAACCATCAGTCAAATCCAGATCGTAAGTCCTATTTTTGGGACCATTATAACTTCGAACCCTAACCAGTCATACATAAGCTGAGGACTACCTCTATATTAAGCACAATAGGTTGTCTCAAATGCCTTAAAATAATATGGAAGTGGGCTTCCTCTTAAGTCATCTTTGAACTTTGAACGTACAAGTGTTAGATAGCTACTCGTATTGCCATATTTGTTCAACATTACTACATTATTGCTTTTATCATTAATATCTGTATGCTGCCTGCAGTTTACTGAGGCAACAAATAAACGGAATAAATAAACATCTGTTATGTAATTGATTTTAAATCTTATTTTTTCAAAACTGAATGAAAAATAACTTAGGTTTATGTTCCACCTTTTCTCCTCAGCTCAAGGTGTTTTTATATAAACCCCTTCATTTTTTCTCTCACAGAAAGAACCACTTTGTGACAGAGAATAATTGGTCCATAGTCACATGAGGATGAAAAGTTTGACAACTACAAGACATTATCCTTCTAAAAAATACAGCTACAATTTGGCATATTATAATTTTTGCCAACAATTTTCACTTAGTTACTCCTTTGGATGGTGAGTGTGTACATGTGAGTGGGTGGGTGTGTTTTTGAGGAAAAAAATATACAGATGTGTATTAAAAATACAAAAAAGTACAGACTAAAACTTTTGGCTTTAGTTTTAATATTCATAATGAACTGCCTATATATGATTAGAGATATAACTTTTCTCTTTGCTTCTTGAGCTTTCATGATTTTTATCTTCAAAAGTGCCCCTTTTTCTGTTTTTATATTTTTCTGTATTTTGTCCAATGATTAATTGGATAACTTTTTCTCCCAAATATCTGCATCTCAAATATTTGAGACAGATATGCAGTTAATTGTGTTAATTAATGAGATAGTTATACAATATTACAGAGCACAACAGCAGGAGCTATTTAAAAATTAGACTACATTAATCCTATATTGTGATGTAATGGGTGTACATGTATGTATAATAAGTATTATATTTCAACATAACTTTTAAATATAAATGCATGACTGCAATACATGAATAGATTTGCTCATATTCAAATCAAAAGCAATAATAGTCTGATTGAAGTGTTTTAATTGACTAATGGCCAAATAATTGGAAATATTAACAGAAAATTATCCTGTGAAAAGGAAGAATTGTATAATGGTTACAACATCTCCCTTTTCAGTTCCTATATGTTGAAGGGAGGGGTCTTCTGTAAATCTGCTAATCCCCCTTATTTCTCAGTCCTTCCTTCTCACACATACATGAAGATGATTTCACCACATGGTGACCTAAACTCAGAGAATGGCTTGGCTCCTAGGATGTTGAAATAGATGATTCAAACCTGGTGTATCAGATTGTGCAAGTGTTGGTGCTGAGAATGGATGACGTGATCCAGGTGAGTAATTTGCTCCTGAAGAACACACATCTCTGACTGAACTTTTACACAGCTGGAACAAAGGAGAAAGAGAAATCAGCTAATGCAGGGGTCCCCAACCACCGGTCTGGGGACCGGGACCGGTCCGTGGAACAATTTCTACTGGGCCGCCGGTTTGCTGGGCGCCACCATCTTGTTTTGATGAAAAAGTGCTTCCGGTGAGCTTTTCCAGGTAGAAAGCGGCGTTTGGGTGCTGAAAGAATCCTCGCGCCTTAGTTTCATTGAGGAGGGGGGCGGCTTCGAACAAAACTAAGGCGCGAGGATTCTTTCAGCACGCATGGCAAGGCGAGCCGAGCGACCGTCCCGAAGCCGTCCCGAAGCCCATCGACACAGATACAAAGGAGGAGTTGAAGGTGGTGGGGAGAAGCGGGGGACGGCTGGCTGGCCAGTCGCTCGGCTCGCCTTGCCATGCGTGCTGATGCTGGTACCGGGCCGCGGATGATTTTGTGATGCTGGTACCGGGCTGCAGCACAAAAAAGGTTGGGGACCACTGAGCTAATGCATGCACTGGAAAAGCATCAAAGGAAGAAAGATGAAGTCTAATTGGAATAAATCCATTGAGAAAATTTGCATGAACTTTATGGAAGATGGACACTTTCTTATTGACCAAATGGGCAAATGGTGATGAAATGTTCATGTTAAGAATCAAAGAATAAACCATTGCATGTCTTCATGACTATCAGGCAGCCAGATTTGTTCCCTCTTCCTTCATCTCCCCTGAGTCACACCAGTCTTCTCTAGATAAGCATAACGTCACCCTTGCTGCTCCATTTAAGTTCTAAATTTGCGATTGGTTAATGTGATTGCATTATGTGCAACTACCCAAATTTCCCTGAAAATAAGACTGGGTCCTATTTTCTTTTGGGACCCAAGATAAGCACTAGGGCTTATTTTGGGGTGGGGGTGTCTTATTTTTTCCCATGTACAGGAGGCCCACTTCTTCTGCTTCCTCGCAGCTGGGCAGGAGGCTGCGGAGTGTACCGGTGCCACCACCGCAAGGCAGGGAAGGTGGAGCTGCTCCATGTGCTCCAAACCTGGCTCCCGCAGCTAGGCTATCCATGCCCCAACACCTGCTTTGCCTCGTGGCCGTGGCACCAACACACCACTTAGTCTCCTGCTCCGTTGCGGCCACTAGTAAGCAGAAGTGGACCAGCATCCATGTGGGCTCCTGCTGCACGTGGCTGTTAGTGCTACCGCCATGAGGCAGGTATCAGAGCATGGATGGCCTGGCTGCAGGGGCACTGAGGTAAGCCGGTACAGGGCACGGGGGCAGTTCTACCATCCCTCTGCCTCACCTTGTGGTCGCGGCACTGCAAGCAACCAGATGGAATGGGCTGCTGGATAGCTGTGCTTTTAAGTAGGGCTTATTTGGGAGGTAGAGCTTTTATTAGGCGCACACATAAAAAGACACTAGGGCTTATTTTCAGGATAGGTCTTATTTTCAGGGAAACAGGGTATTATATGAAGTCTCTTTTGTGCTTCTTTTCCTCTCCAAAATCCTGAACCTCTGCTTTATCCTCTGGTACCGTGTACGTTCTATAGCCTCACTTTGCAAATCAACTCTTTTTTATTGATAATTTGCCTACTGGAATGGGATTGACATGCTGTTTTGTAAAAGATGCAATTGTATACAGACTACACAGTCTATAGCCTGAGATGTAATGGGAGGCATTTGAAGTCAAGATAGAGAAGAGCTAGAGAAGAGCTACTCCCACCATCTATCATGTGCAGATTTTCCAGAGTTTCTGACCTAGGAGTGGGGTATATTTGATGCAGTCTATCCCACTTGTATTGAGTGATACCATCAAACAGTATTTCCTTATGAGATCAGGTGAGAACATGTCATTTTATAGATTTACATTTTTCTTTCAGCTCTTGTATAATTTACAGAGTGGTCTATCTTTTATTAACACAAAGATTCTCCTCTGCTTTTAAAAACCTGGCAAGTATTTAAAGGCCACTATTGATTTAGGTTTTGAGCTTTAAAAAAAAAAAAGTTTTTGTGAAGTTCACTAACCTTTGAGCATTCTCAGCTTTTGACATCATCTGATGCAACTTCTTTTTTAAAAGCTGTTTGTTTTCATCCAGTGTTTTCTTTTCCTAAAGAGGGCAAAGGAACAAGGATTGTGCCTGCTGTACACTTTTCTTTAGCAATCATCATCATCATCCGAAGTTCAAGCATTCCTCATCATTCACTTTCAGGGATGACCACAACTCCTGGCAAACTGCAGATATGCAAACCCTCATTGCTGAAAGAGGAGAGATAAAGTCATCCTACAGTATCCTAAACATCTGCTGGGGACAGGAATCCATATTAAAATGGGTTTGACCAGAATCTACTTGAATGTTTTTAATTTAGGGCAGTTCACCCTTCCTTCAGTCTAAGGTTACCATCAGAATAGAGCTGGAAGAGATCTTAAAGGTCTTCTACTGTAGTTCAACCTCCTGCTCAGGAGACCCTGTATGTGTGGAAGAAAATCTGGGGTGCCCTTTGTAACCCTCTCTTGTCCCTGTCATCTCTAAATCTCCTAGCTATATGAGGGAATCAAACTGAGTAGCCTAGAGGTGGAGCTCTCGCTTCATAATCAAGAAACTGTGAGTTTGATCCTAGGTAGAGGCAGATGATGGACACGCTGAAACTATATCTGCTGAAAAATACTCCGCCTTGTAGACAGGAAGGGCATCCAGCCAGTAAACACTCAGCTCCATTCAGTTGCCCAGACCCCACCCTGCAAGAGACCTTGGAGGTCTGCTACTCCTATCCCCTACTCAAACAGGAAACCCTACACAATTTCAGACAAGTGATTGTCCGGTCTCTTCTTAAAAACCTCCAGTGACGAAGCACCTACGATTTCTGAAGACAAGCTGTTCCACTGGTTCATTGTTTTCAGTGTTAGGAAGTTTCTCCTTAATTCCAGATTACGTCTCTCCTTAATTAGTTTCCATCCACTGTTTCTTGTCTTTTCTTCTAGTGTTTTGGAGAATAGGTTGATCCCCTCTCCTTTGTGGCAGCCCTTCAAATACTGGAACACTGCTATCATGCCACCCCATGTCCTTCTTTTCACTAGACTAGCCATACCCAATTCCTGCAACCGTCCTTCATATGTTTTAGTCTCCAAGCCTTTAATTGTCTTAGTTGCTCTTCTCTGCACTTTTTCCAAAATGAATTACTGTTATTCTTAGGAACAGTTTTCTTAACATTGATGTTTCCTTTTAAATCATTTTAAAAATGGTTTCATTCAATAACCTGAAAAAAATATTTTTTAAACATTTTCTGTTTTCAAAGTAAACATATCCATTTCCTCAGTCTCCCCATGTCAGTTTTGCCAGTTTTCTGATCCTCCTTTTTTGTTCTTCAGTTTGTCTGAATCTTTCTTAAAATATGATGCCTTCATTTCTCTCAGATTCTATGAGGGGCATGTTTTATGTAACATGTCCAACTAGGATTGGACATCTCGAAGTAGTTGTCATGCCCCTACATATAATCTTTATATACTGTTGTTGCTCTCTAGCCCCATCTAGTGGCTGGAGGGACAAATATGCCTCAATATACGATCTTTATATACTGTTGTTGCTCTCTAGCCACATCTAATGGTCGGAGAGACAAATACCAATTATATTGTTTGAAGCTGACCCAAACCCTTTACCCATCAGCCTGAACTCTCAAAACAAGTGCATGCTGGGAAGCCAGACTCTATTTCCTTTAGCATTTGGAGAAGGCAGAAACACAACAAAGAATCCAGCTTAGCTCATCCTGCAAACAGAGCAACTATGCTTTGTTAATTTAGGCTTAATCCAAAGTGTTGGATGAAATGTTATTTCAAACTCCAGGCCACCTTAAACAAAAAGGGAATCTTTAGAAACAAATTGATGTTTTAGTATCTTGCCAGAGAGGGCAGTTCCATCTAGTAAAGGAAGCCTACCTAACCAGAAACTTGTCACGACTGAGAATGCTACAACTATAATTTTGATGAGTTTAGCTGTTTCAGGACCAGAGGTGAACATCATGTATTTGATCGTTTCCCATTTCCAAAGCTTCTCAGTCCAAATCCTTTGCTCAGATTCTATTAATGGAATGTGATTCCTTTGGCTTCCAAGGTAATTACAGAAGCATATGGTGACTTGGATTTTTAGATAACACACTTATTGCAGTAACTCTGTTTGCTTCACAAGTGTCACTGCTTATTAGTGAATCCACTGAGATAAAAGGCCTTGCCGGGATGTTTCAATAACAACAAAGAATGAATATTGTAGGAGTTCAGATGGCTGTCACAAATTGGCTTTCTTCTGTTTCCTGGGGAAATGATAGCTCACCTCAACAGCTTTCTGTTAAACACCTACATTAAAAAATGGTTTCTTGCCTCCAGATCCCACACACTGTCACAGACTTTAATGTCAAATAGAGAGTGTCATGCAAAAATCTACTTATTAGTAAGGAACATGTAAATATTTGTCATTTCTAGTTCCGGCTTGAAAAGAAAAGGTAAAAAAAGCTCCACCAGTTGAAAAGTGTGAAATTAATCATCAGTTTCATAAAAAAATATCACAGTATTTGACCTGACATGAGTAGTACAACTAACAATACTATGTATATACAAGTAGTCCTTGACTTACAACCACAACGAAGCCCAAAATTTCCATTGCAGTTTTAAAGCAACTTTTCTTGCCACAGTTGTTAAATGAATCACTGCAACTGTTAAGGTAGTAACATGGTTGTTAAAGTGAATCTGGCTTCCCCTTTGATTTTGCTTGTCAGAAGGTCACAAAAGGAGATCACGTGACCCCAGGACACTGCAACAGTCATAAGTATGAGCCAGTTGCCGAGCTTCAGAATTTTGATCACATGACCATAGGGATGTTGCAACGGTCATAAGTGTGAAAAACAGTCATAAGTCACTTTTTTCAGTGGCTGCTGTAAGTCAAGGAATGCCTGTGTTTCTTCGTTTTTAAAAAAAGGCCGCTGAAATGGTTAGGAAGCTTTGGCAGTCATTGGGACGTGGCGAAACAGGAGCCACAAACGTACGTGACCGACACGACTTCAATTTCACCTCTTTCATCCTTTGTACTCGTTTTTCCAGTTCTTCAATCTGGCCATATTTCTCATTCAGCTGTGTGCTTAGCTGTCTGAGGCTGTCTGTGCTTTGCTTTAAGATCTGCTCTTGCTCAAGGTTGCGGGCCTGCAATTAGAAAGCGAAATCAGGGCTCTGAAGAATTTAGAAACAGATTGTATCATGCTATTAGCTCAAGGCAAGGCACACAAACTGACGCTTGGTGTCAGTAACACCAGCACTCTGAATACAGCCATAAGGTAAAGGTAAAGGTTCCCCTCGCACATAGGTGCTAGTTGTTTCTGGCTCTAGGGGATGGTGCTCATCTCTGTTGCAAAGCCGAAGAGCCAGCATTGTCTGAAGACGTCTCCGTGGTCATATGGCCGGCATGACTAAATGTTGAAGGTGCACGGAATGCTGTTACCTTCCCACCAAAGTGGCCCCTATTTTTCTACTTGCACTTTTACATGCTTTCAAACCTCTAGGTTGGCAGAAGCTGGGACCAGTAACAGGAGCTCACTCCGTTACGTAGCGCTAGGGATTTGAACTGCCGAACGGTCGACTTTTCTGATTGAGAAGCTCAGCGTCTTAGCCACTGAGCCACCACGTTCCTGAATACAGCCATAGGCCAGTCCTATTTTCAGAAAACTCTATAAGGACCTGTTCCCCATAGTGGACAACCTGACATCACAGATTTGTCTGGAGTTCTCAGTTTCTCTTTGGTGATTCCTACTTGGAATCCCTTCCAACCACAACTGCCAAAAACTGAGGGTGGAACTGACTAATATTCTGAGGTAAGAAATACACAAAACTAAAATGTTAACACTAAACTTGATTTAGAAAAATGTCTATCCTCTATGATGGCCTATCATCTTTTTAAAAAGTGCTTTAATTATATGGAATACACAAAGTTCCCAACTGGAAAATAGCAAAATTATAGAGTTGAGCTTGATGGGGATAGTAATGATAATGTCACCCTTACCCACTAGCAGCAAAATTGTACTATTGGTACTATTTTTGCTTTCTTTTGTCACAGTCATTCTACTTCTATTTGCAGGTCTTTGTGTAATTTGTGATTTTCTCTAATTCTTTCTCCTCTATTCTGCTGTCTCTAGATACTACCATGTCTACTATCAACAATTCTTAAGTATTCTCATTATTATTATGTCATAGAAGGGGAGACTTGAGATTTTTGCCTTAATGTACAATATTTTTAAAAATACAGACAAATATTGTGCATGATGGTCCAGTGCAACATGGAATCTTATTTTTCTAGTTCTCCAAATAATCCCTCTTTAGACAATTAGTCCATGATAATTTCATAAAGAGGCACTGTGTTTCAAAGATTCTGGTCATTGGTATTTGTATTAAATTTGGCTCACTGGTCAAAAAAAATAAATGAAGATGCTCACACCTCAAGGCAGGTTACAGTTTTTGAGGAATTTACATGATCTTCCAGTGAGAGGTGGCTGGGTTGAGTAAAATTGTGCCTGAAGTCTGTAACTTTGAAAAAAGGTCTAGCCATTTTAGTGGCAAAGAACTTATCTAAACATACAGTAGGTACTTTGAATATTAAAAGTCCTTAGTGCTCTCTGAGCTTTGTTGTTTTCCTGCAGACAGTTCATTTCCCAAATTAGGTAACATCATTAGTGCTGATGTTGTTACCTAATTTGATGTTGTTGTTACTTAGTTTGGGTAAAGAGAACAGCAAAGCTCAGAGAGCACCAAGGATCCCTATTTCAACCCTGAAATGTTCTCCTTTATTGGTACTTCAAATATTACTATATGAGAAATCTACAATTGTGGAAAAGAACAAATGTTTAAGGCTTGTTTTAAATGGTCTATTCCATTTCTGTGAGATTTGTTTGTGACTTTCACCTCTCAGTCAGGAGCTCAAGACAACATTCACAACATTAGTTTCTGTTTTTCCCTACAGCAATGACTCTGTTCCATGAGACCAAATATTAGATGCCTTGTCATGTGATGAAGAGAATTACTGGAAGAGGAAAAGCTATGCTGTAGCCCAATGTACAGGGAGAGACGGTGAATACCAATTTTGCTGGGGTGAATGGAACGGTTTGTTTTCTTATTCAGATTGATTTCTCACAAGTTCCATTCGAGAATCCATTCTGGTTTGTCTCTGGGATAGTCTGCATTTTTAAATCGAAACATGTTCAATTCATATTTATATATGAAATACATATATTAAATACAATTAAATACAAGCTGAATAGTCAAGATCTTGTTGATGATCCAAGCTCTGTAAAGGACCTTGGAATACTCACCTCTAATGATCTAAGTGCTAGTGCCCACTGCAACTACATAGCCAAAAAGGCATTAAGAGTTGTTAAACTAATCTTACGTAGCTTTTTCTCTGGTAATATCACACTACTAACTAGAGCATACAAAACATTTGCTAGACCAATACTCGAATACAGCTCATCAGTCTGGAACCCACATTACGTATCTGATATTAGCACAATTGAGAAAGTCCAGAAATATTTCACAAGAAGAGTTCTCCACTCCTCTACTCGTTGTAGAATACCTTATGCCACCAGACTTGAAATTCTAGAACTAGAAAACCTTGAATTACGCCGTCTTCGGTCTGATTTAAGCATGGTATATAAAATCATACATTGCAATGTCCTACCTGTCAATGAATACTTCAGCTTCAACCATAACAACACAAGAGCACACAACAGATACAAACTCAAGGTTAACCGCACCAAGCTCGATTGCAGGAAATACGACTTCAGCAACAGAGTGGTCAATGTCTGGAATACTCTACCCGACTCTGTAGTTTCTTCCCCAAACCCCAAAAACTTTAACCTTAGACTGTCTACTATTGACCTCACCCCTTTCCTAAGAGGTCTGTAGGGGGCGTGCATAAGCGCACCAACGTGCCTACCGTCCCTGTCCTATTGTTTCTTTTATTTTTCTTTCATTTTTCTTATATGTACTCATTTCATGTATCCATAATTATGTATACACTTTTACTTATTATCTCGTAAACAATTGACAAATAAATAAAATAAATAAATAAAATAAATAAATATATATAGAGAGAGTTTCTCTGTAACAATGTATGAGTCGCTATGTCTTTAAAACAATCAATACTTTCTTTAACGTAGATCAGTGAAGCTCACGTCAGTATGTAGACTAGCTTGTAAGTCTGCTTGCTTTGAAGTGTGGATGAAACAATGTTGTAGAATACCCCTGGAGTTGTCCTCTCATCCCTAATCATCTTTTCAAAATATCCAAAAGTTTCTCAAAAACTTTCTGGAGAACTGTGCTTTGCATGACACTCCAGGCAACCGTACCTGCAGTTTTCTTGGCATGATTTCAGAAGTGCTTTGTCCTTATCTTCTCCCCACAACTCAGATATCCTCGTTCCTATGGCAGATGCCCTCACCAACACATGGCCTCATTCCTAAAGGCAGAACTAGATCTCACAGCCTCCTAGTAAGCACCACACCAAGCTGGCTCTCTTACATTTCATACCTTCATTGTATTTATGACTCCTTCGTGTCTTTTCTTCAGGTCTTCAGAGCGTTTTGTGTAAGTCTCATGCAGCTTTCGGGAGCCATGCTTCACACACTCAGCACCGGTGGCCCTTAAAGCTTCGAGCTGAAAAGGACGCAATGAAAGGACAGATTATTTAAATCATTTCTCTTTTTCAAAAAAAAGGATCACATGCCATATTAGAGTATCACATACCATATAAATAAGTTCTCAGTATGAAATATTGTATGAAAATTTATGTTTATTTAGAACATTGATTGACATGGGGTGGAATTAGTTCACTCTGGGCATGATATGCTCTGTTTGGAATCAAATTTAATCTTTTCGTATTTAATCAGATCAATTGACCCGTTTTGGGGTAAGCATGTTGAACAAACAGGGTCAGGGCCTCTTCTTTAAAATACAAAGAATATCTCTTAGAGCAGGGGTGTCAAACTGGATCCAGCCCGTGAGGTGCTTAGATTTGGCCCGTGGGGGTGCCCTGAAAACAGCAAAGAGCTCAGGAGCCTGTTTTCACTGGCAGAGTACTCGGGCCGCCACAGGCGCCCCCCGACACAAGTGATATTATGCTGGCCACGCCCACCCCAGCCCTTGAGGTCAAATACAACCTTGATGTGGCCCTCAATGAAATCGAGTTTGACACCCCTGTCTTAGAGGGGGGAACTTTCAGCCTTGTAATATTTCCCCCTGCTCCTTCAGTTTTGGAATTTGACTGTGAATTTTGTAACATTTTTATAGTGCCTTTCTATCTGCCTTTTTAAAAAATTGTTTTAATCTGTTTGGCTGTTTTATATTGTTTTTATTTTTGGTAAGCCACCTGGAGTCTCATATATATACATATACATATACATATACATATACATATACATATACATATACATATACATACATACATACATACATACATACACATACATACATACACATACATACATACACACACGCACAAGATGGGTGGCTATTTAATAAATAAAATAATAAAAATAGTTTTATCAGTTCAACCATTTACACATGTTGGATTAGTTTCAAAACCAATAAAGAATCAAATAACCTTGAAAAACTCATCATAAAATAAAAATGGATCTCCTGTATTAAAGACACAACAATATTTTTTTTTTGAAATTCCAAAAATGGAAGCACACCTTCATCTTTAGCTTTTCGTTTTCTTTATTCATCCATACTAATTCTTCTTCTGCTTTGTTAATCTTTTTTAAGGTCTCCTCGTTCTTGGAAGACAGCATCTCTTCCTCAGGGACCAATCCAGATTCTGTAACATGTAGCTAAAATGAAGAAAAGAAGTAAGGATACATCAGCTCTTCCTACTTCTGCCATTTCTCTCTTTTTTCCTTTTTTTTTTGACTCTGTCTGCCTTTTATTAAACTGATTTGTACAATTTGCTGCAAGTGACAGATGCAGTTTATTATTCATTCAAATTCTTTGAAATCTTAATAGAACTGCACAATGCTGAAATTTAATAAGTATTTTCTTTTGTGTGCATGGTTAACCAAACGTGCTGTAAAAACGTAGCCAAATTGCATGCATACTATAATATTTTTTATTAATGGAAGAATGGTTAATCCAATAATACACCAATGCCAAACTGGAAACAACACGAGGTCTTTCAGAGCCTTTATTTCCCTCATTTGTTTTCCCAGGGTGGAAAAGTAAACAGAATTATTTTTCTAAGCGACCTTAATTTGAAATATAATTTATCACTAGAATACCCAGCAGTTCCAAAGTTTCCCCTTTGATTATATATTGATAACCCTATCATCCATGATTAAGATCCTTTTATATTACTTCTTTCTAATATAAAACATCCTTTTCCCTACCTAAGTTGTCCTGAATACAGTTCAATAGCAAAATAGGAGGCAGAAGCATTATGCATGCAACCTTGAACAAACTGTACTATAAAACTGTGGTATAAATCTAATAAACAAACTATAATGTGTCAGATTTATTGTTTTCCCCCCTAAAGGGGATATTCATGCAGATTACTCATTGACAGATTGAGGAAGAGCCACTGCAGTAAATGATGAATGCATAGGTGTCTGTTGGAGTTGGGAATGGTATCATATAAAGGTAATCCTCAACATACAACCACAATTGAGCCCAAAATTTCTGTTGCTAAGTGAGAGTGTTAAGTGGGTTTTGCCCCCATTTTACAACCTTTCTTGCCACAGTTGTTAAGTGAACCAATTAACAACTGTAACTTGTTATGTATGAAGTGTTAAGTGAATCACTTAACAACTATAGTAATACAATTGTTAAGTGAACCTTGCTTCCTCGTTGACTTTGCTTCCCTGAAGGTTGCAAAAGGAGATCACGTGACCCCCGGGACACTGCAACCATCATAAATGTGAGTCAGTTGCCAAGGGTCTGAATTTTAATCATGTGATTATTTGGCTACTGCAATGGCCCTGTGAAAAACGATCGTGTCACTTTTTTTTAGTGCCATTGTAACTTCAAACGTTTTCCGATCCAGGCTTCACAAAATCACAAAGCAGGTTCCTCATCCTGACAAAACCCATTTTTCTTAGGCTAATGTGAATTCCTGTCATTCACATCCAGCAAAGTCCTGGCAAACGGTCTTTCAAGGGTGATTTACAACCACAGACCTTATCAGGCTTGGAGAGTTGTCAGGCCGATAGCCTCCAAGCGCAATGCTGTAGCAGAAAATACTTGATATGGAAACAAATCTTCACCCTAATTAAATGAACTCATTGTCTCCTGCAAACACCACTGCCCTTTCTCTCCTTTTTATTCCCTATGGGAAGGGCCATTCACCTGTGCCTTTACTCCTGAGTCAACCCTTGTTCCTTAACTGTTCCCTTCTCCTGGCAGCTCTGTGCATGCACACAATGGGAACAGGCTCCAGCTGTTCTTCTGCCCCACTGATCTCTGATTCTGAAGGTAGCTGATAACTGTCAGACAGCCCTGGTCCCATCTCTGCCTCCGACACAAAGCCCTCATCAGAGCCTCCCCCAGACTCCAGGACTGGCCCATGTTCCTCCCCAACCTCCTCACTGTCCGAGTCTTTAATCCCTAAATCCTTTAGTTTTTCCATTAATATTCCCATTGCTTTCTTGCCTTATATCTCTATTCAATACTTCCAAAGCAAAAATGGATAACAATGGTGACAAGGAGCATCCTAGTCTAGTCCCTTTCTATATTGCTTCAGATTTTGCTGGTTTCCCATTCACAATTATCTTTGCCTTTTCTGAAGCATAAATTATTGCTGTATACTTTCAATAAGTGAATTGTAACTGAATCATTATCCATTTGATAAAATTCTCACCAAAGTCACAACTCATAAGATTATTGTTATAGGTAAAATAGGAGGAGGAAAGAGTATTAGATTAGCCTAGACTAGACTAGACTAGAATTGAATTGAATTGAATTCTTTGTTGACCACATGTGGTTGGACATACAAGGAATTTGTCTTGGTACAAATACTCTCAATATACATAAAAGAAAAGATACATTCGTCAAGAATCATATGTTTGCTGCTTTGAATTATTTATAGGAATATAGGATATAGGATAAAAATAAAGTTCATATCCTTCAAAATTTTAAACAAGAAAATCCCATTCAGATCATGAAACCCTTTTTCTGCATTGTAAAAAATAAATGGTGCTTCTTTTTCACTCTTACTACACGTATTTTCAATACACTTTTAATATTATCCTGCAGCTGCCCTTTAGGTTAAAAAACACAGTCATCATCTTCTTTTAAAAGACCCCATAATCCCTCACGGGGTGGAGTCTTGGGCAACTGAATAGAGCTGAGTGTTTACTGGCCAGATGCCCTTCCTGTTGCCAATGCGGAGATTGTTTCAGCAGATATATTCTCATTGTGCCCAGAGAGAGAAATATCTGCCTCTACCTAGGATCGAACTCACAGCTTCTTGATTGTGAGGCGAGAGCTCTACCTCTAAGCCACCACACCACTAGCTTAAAAAAAAATCCCCAGTGATCTTCATAAATAAAGTCACGTAAAAACATCTTCATTTTCTCAGTTAAAATCACTGTAAATAGCTTATAACCATTATTCAATAATGATATCGGTAATGATGTTGGCAAGGTCAAATCTTGAATACATGTATTGGCTTCCACCCAATGTCTGGTATCATATATTCATCACATGTTGGAAATGGCTGTGGTAGTTCATCTTCAAAATGTTTATAATCAAAAGTTGTTGATCCATTTGCTCCAAACACTTTCTCTATAGTAGTCTGGTATAGCCACTGGCTAACAGGAAGCTGACTTAGTCAATAAATAGATTGTCCTGCTCATAATCCTGGCACCACAGCCAACCCATTGGCCAATATGTCTTCTCAAAGGTGAAGTGATGGAGGTTGGCTGCCTCCACCACTCCTTAGGTTTCACCCATAACTCACTTATGCCAGTTGCTCTTCTTTTAGGGCCTCTATTTTTCTTGGGCCCAATGCAGCCACATATTCTGTGACATCTTTAGACTAGACCTGAGTAAGTGGTAGACAGACGTCACCAGAGAATAGATAGCATGAATTTTTGAGGCCAAATGTCCCACCTATACTTTCATCCATGCACTGAACCCAAGAGAATTTAAACTTCTAGCAAAAATGTTTTTTCCCCCCCCACCTCTCAACCCATGCAGTAAAATATCATCTTCTATTTGCTCAGCTCCCCAGGGTTTAATTTTTTGAAAGCATTCGCACAACGGACCTGATAAATAACAGCCCCAATTCCCTTAGGGCAATCTTTTCTGCCTACAAGATTAATTAGTACTCGGAAGAATGCATCAGGCTGCAAACTCATTCTGACAAGGTTTGCAGAACAGGGGAATTAGAGGCAAGTACAAAGCCAAAAATGCCTCAACATGCTTTATGAACACCGAACTCATAAGAGCCTTGTAACCTTTGCTAAAGGAGCACCAGGGTTATAAGACAAATTGTCAACATTGCTATTTTGCTAGTGTGACAAAATGCACAGCACATGGATTATGGAGTTCCGTAGTCCTCTTAGCAGCTTTTTTTTTTTAAATGTACAGGAGCAGGTTGAGTTTGGTAAAATTGGAGAGAATCAAGAAGTGGGGATTAATCAGCAAATCTCCATGCAGAAGGACAAGTTTCTGGGTGTTATCTGTTCTGACCTAGGCTTCCCCCACCAACATAAAACTGAGTCCTTGTCCCGATAAGCCGCTTTTATTTGATTTACAATGGATTTCCTCTCCAACAATGTCCCTGCCAACAGTCCTTCATGATAGTTCTCAATTACAGACCTTTATCAGGCTTGGAGAGGGGCCAGGCCTATATCTTTCAGACTCCGCTATACTTGGCAAGCATGCCGGAATGAACTAATTGTTTCCTGCAAAGCCCTACTCCCTCTTTTAGACTCTAGGGGAGGGGCCATTCACTGTCTACCAGTGGCTTTACTTCCAAGTGGGCCCTTGTTCCCCAGCTGTTCCCTCCTTCTGGCAACTCTGTACATGTGCACACTGGGAACAGGCTCCAGCTGTTCTTCTGCCTCACTGATGTCCGACTCTGAAGGCAGCTGATAACTGTCACACGGCCCTGGCCCCATCTCTGCCTTCGACACAGAACACTCGTCAGAGCCTTCCCTAGACTCCAGAATAGCCTATGTTCCTCCCCAACCTCCTCATTGTCTGAATCTGCTGCCAGCTCTGCTGTCGGCTGTCGGGCCAAAACACTATCATAAAAGAGGACCTGACCTGTGGTTCTCATATTGCAGCACTGGTCAAAAGGGCCCAGCAGAGATTATACTACCTGAGACTTCTCAGGAAACAACAACTGAATGAAAAACTACTGGTGACCTTCTACCGCTGCACCATAGAGAGTATTTTAACTTACTGCACCTGTATATGGTTTGCCAATTGCACAGGGGCAGATAGGACAGCACTCCAGAGGGTTAACGTCATTGCTCTCTCCCCTCTTTGGAAGAGCTTTATAGTCTTAAGAAAGTTCAAATCATTCTTAAAGAATCCATCTCATCCTGGGCACCCATTTTTTGAACGATTACCACCTGGCAGATAGTACAGGACAATAAAAACAAGGACAGGCTGAAAAAACAGCTTCTATCCCAGAGCAGTAATTATATTGAATTTTACTGTATAGTGCAATATTAATGCAATATCAGGGGGTTTCAATTCAATTGTATAGAACTCTAAGGATGTGTGCTTGTGTTTTATTTTTATAGTTATAATGTACACTGAAGATGGCATTTATGACAATAAAGTAAAGTAGTACTGCATTATTAAGAGTCAGTTTGGTGCAGCTGGTAACACACTGGGCTAGGAAACCAGAGATTCTGCCTTCTGCAGAAGGCATGAAACCAGGTAGATGGACCTGCCTGGACCAGTCCTAATGTTTCAGCTCTAGGAAGAAGGAAACAGCAAGCTGTTTTTTGCAAATCTTGCAAAGAAAACTACAGGAACAAATCCAGACAAGGCCCAGGAGTTCATTCTGAAAATATTGGTGTTCCTATTTACATCTAGGCTACCAGATGGCTCTGACTAGATTTGATACTTTTGATCACTTGGGATCCTTCCCAAGTGTCTATGGAGATTCTCAGTCATGGTTGCTCTTTTCCAAAAGGCAATTGGACTTTCTTGGGGGGATTTTTGCTTTGAAAACGTTTTGCTTCTCATCCAAGAATCTTCTTCAGAACTTTGGAAAAAGCATTATCTGGGACGATCCTTCCTAAGGATCTAGAACAGCTAAAATCACTATTGAAATATTCTGCCATTCTAAAGTAATGTGAATTTTGAAACTGATATGTGGAGATTCTGTTCATTCTATCAAATGCCAAACAGTTTTCAAGAGCCTTTGGGGTATGGAATCAAGCACACAAACCCATACTGACAAGATTTTTTCTGACCATTCATTCAGCAACTATTCAAAATTATGATGGTACTGAACAAAGTGACTTATGAGTTGGCCCCATAATTATGGCCACTGCAGCCCCCCTGCAGTGATGTGAGCAAAATTTGGGTGTTTGGCAAACTGTTCAGCTTTACCACTGACTGTAGGGGTGCTGCAGTTGCCTCCCCTGTCTATCTTCCTCCACACCCAGCCCCCTGTGGGATCCTTGGGCCTACCTTCCAACAGGCTGGCTCCCCTAAGTTTTAGCAATAGCCCTTAGACTTATATACCACTTCACAGTGCTGTGCAATACTCTTTAAACAGTTTACAGACTCAGCGTATTTTTCCCAACAATCTGGTTCGTTGTTTTACCGATTTCAGAAGGATGGAAGGCTGAGTCAACCTTGTGCCGGTGAGAATCGAACTGCTAAATTGCAGGCCCTGTACTTACCTGGCATCCAAAATGGGCTACGTGGGTACTCCTGGGAGGGTCAGGGTGGGCGGGGCCAGCCAGAGGTGGGATTTACCAGTTCGCCGAACTAGATATAAAATTAGTTAGCAGCCCACCCCGTATCGATCTATCCTTGGTCATTTCAAAGGAAAGAAAAATAGGACAAACCTAAAGGATAGTATAGACTTGGTAAATCTGGCAGCGTGCTGAATGCCGGGTGAGAGTGGATTGGTCTGATGAACATAATTTTGGCTCCTGGGGGGCTTTCACAAGTCTGAAGGTCATCCATGCTATTGTGCAGAAGAGATCTATCTTATTGTCTGCACGACACAGAAAATCTTTCATACCTTTGAATCCAGCGTGCCATTTGCAATGCTATGGTTGAATTCCTTTTTATATAACAGAGGCTTCACTTTTGCTAGCGTGGAACGAATCTGCAGGGGAAAAAAACCAAACAAACTGAAATGGTTATGGTTTTTAAGGGGAAAATGTCTGATGTAAAGAAAGCACCAAGAAGCCTGTTTTAATGTTGATAAATAACGTAAAACAAACCAGGAATACAGGTAGTCCTCGATTTACAACAGTTCATTTAGTGACCATTCAAAGTTACAGTGGCACTGAAAAACTATTTTTCACACTTAAAACTAACTTATTGGCTACAGTGATTCACTTAACAACTGTGGCAAGAAAGGTCATAAAATGGGTCAAAATTCACTTAACAAATGTCTCACTTAACAACAGAAATTAGAGGCTCAATTGTGTTTGTAAATCGAGGACTACCTGTAATGTTTTTTAAATATTATGGCAATTGTAAATTCTCTGTTTATTTACTGATACTTTATTTTCCATATACTACGGCCTCTTCCCTCTTCTTTTTCATTTTCTGTGGCCATTCATTTTATTCTTTAAATGTTTTTTTTTAATTAAAATTAAACAAATAGAACTGAAAAGTTTCTTTTGCTCACAGCAGGAATCCAAATTTAAACTCCATGACAAATCACTATCTAGGCTCTGTTTGAAGACATGCATTAATGATCTCTTCTAGAAAACTGCGCCACTGTCCATTGTCCTCTGTTTGTTTTTTAATATTCAACCAGTCTTCCTGTAACTTCAAATAATTATTTTGTATCCTGTATTCTGGACAATAAAGGACAAGATTATATTTCCCTCCCTCAGTTATAAATTCTCAAGGCTAAATATATCCTTCTTTCTGGTTGGACTTGATTTCCAAGCTTCTAATATTTTTGATCTAGACATAATATGCAAGTCAATATGTATGTGTGTGGCTATTGTTAATTATCATTGCTAAAGCAATATTCTGGATAAAACACATGAACTGAGTCTTGTGTACGTGTGTACACACACACAGACACACAGACACACAACTCACTTCACATGTTTTATGTAGAATATTGCTTTATAGTGACAATTAAAAGGATCTTAAATAACTAAAGCCAACATTCCTTGAGATCTTGGACTGTCCATCCCAGACATTTAGCATAGACCAGTGGATCTGGTTTTGTTACATGTTCATAAAAGAAATCTGTACCGTTTTAATATATTCTGTTTCTTCAATAATCTCAGGCAAGGTAAATCCACAAAAGAGGAAAGGTTCTGCTGTCTTTGTGTTCTCTCCCAGACGATGTGTCACCTCTAAAGCGGTAGACATTATCCAAGTTTGGAGATAATCTGTAACGAAAGACCACAGATGAATGTAATAATTAAAAAAACCTACACGTGACAAAGGCTCAGATTCCAATCAGGAGACCAAATAAAGAAACCCTGAAGAAACGCATGACACAACAGGAGAAGAACAGACTGCTTCAGAGCATGGTAAAATAGAGTAAAGATAGCCTTTGACTTACAACCAGTGGTGGGATTCAAATTTTTTTACTACTGGTTATGTGGGAGTGGCTTAGTGGCGTGGCTTGGTGGCGTGGCTTGGTAGTGTGGCAGGGGAAGGATACTGTAAACTCTCCATTCTCATCCCATTCCAGGGGAAGGTTACTGCAAAATCCCATTCCCTCCCCATGTCACTAACCTGCTTTCCAGCTCCGTTCTCCTGTGCAGGGCAACCAAAGAAGACCCAGCAATCAGCTGGGACTCGGGAGGCACAGACTAGTTGAGGGTGGGGCCAGTCAGAGGTGGTATTTGCCGGTTCTCCAAACTACTCAAAATTTCTGCTGCTGGTTCTTCAGAACCGGTCAGAACCTGCTGAATATCACCTTTGCTTATAACCACAACTGAGCCCAACATTTCTGTTGAAACATTTGTTGAGTGAGTTTTGCGACCTTTCTGCCCACAAGTTGTTAAGTGAATCACTGCAGTTGTTAGCTTAGTAACATGATTGTTAAATAAACCTGGCTTTCTCGTTGACTTTGCTTGTCAGAAGGTCACAAAAGATGATTTTTGGGACACTGCAACCATCATAAATGCATCCCAGTTGCCAAGCACCCAAATTTTGATCATGTGACCACGGAGATACTGTAATGTCGCAAGTATAAAAAACAACGCTAAGTCACTGTTTTATGAAAAAGTCATAAGTTACTTTTTCAGAGCTGTCATAACTTAGAATGGTCATTAAGTCAAGGACTACTTGTACATTCTGAATTAGTAAAGAAAAATACTTTCCTAGCTGAACTCCCAAGTCCTTGAGTTGATTTATCCTATAAAACGTTTAGGAAAGCAGTGAACAATATTGTCAGTGTTCCAAATCTGATTCAAGATGGGTTCGGGGCTGACAAATATATGACCTTCCAGATGTCTCTGAGCTATTCTAACCTTCCTGTTACATTGCTGATCATCAAATTAAGAGCTGGCATTCAAGGGCATGTATCATGCATTGAACTCTGGCTTAGGACCATGATAGGCCTAAAATAATAACACCTTCCTTTTGTCTTCCGGTTGTTTTTCAAAGTTAAATAAAAAGTATCACCTTCAGTTTATTAACTTTGATGGCCAGTCCTACTATTAAGCTGAGCGACTAAGCTTAATCAATGACTTAAGATACTAACGGAAGAAGTCAAACCTGGTAAGAAGGAAAGTATTGGTGAACCATTTGCTTTTGTTGAAGGACAGAGTTGTCTAAATTACATGGTCTGGCCCTCTCTGAAGCATCCTATCAGATTAAGCTGCCAATCTAGTCAGCTACAGATACTGACCAGAGAAAGGTCCAAGCAGAATTTTAAAAACTGGTCATCTGGCACCATATTCCGAATTAGAACAGCAAACACACATTGGCAACTGGACTGAAATATAAGCTATCCTAAGATTCGGTTCATAATTATAAAACCATCTTTATTGTAAAACCCAGTTGAAGTGAATTCAGCAGGGGCCTCGCTAGTTATTATACAATCTAGGGGAACGGAGCAATTTATTTGGCCAACGCATCAGAAAACAACACAGATGTGAAATCTGATTGTGTCACAAAAATTTACAAAGCCTTTGGCTTCCAGCATTTAAATGCACATTTTCAAGACAATGTTAGATATGGTCAGATAGCTAAATCAATAGCATTTCTATTCTGTTCTAAAGACAACATTATTAAACATTTATCTTTAAAATACAAAGATGTCATTTATAAATGGAACTAACATCACCAGATTGCATAGTCCTAGTAAATGTTTCCTTATAATATGTTTAAATACGTTTTTAAAATAGTTTAGTTTACTTTATTGTCATTGCACCTCGTACAATGAAAATAAATACCATCTTCAGTATATATTATGATTGAAAATAACCACAAACACACATCCTTTACATTCTATACATTGAATTGAAAACCCGACATTGCATTAATATTGCACTATAAAGTAGAATTCAATAGAGTTACTGCCCTAGGATAGAAGATGTTTTTCAGCCTATTTGTCCTTGTTTTTATTATCCTCCAATGCAAATTGCTATTATTTAATGTAGTAGCCCAGTTATCTGTGATCATTTAATCTGGGGATACTCAAGTTTTTTGGGATACCAGTAATGAAACTAATGTTGGACGGAACATGCAGTTTGCTTGGCTACAATCCTGAGAAAGTGTTCAGAGGCCTTGAGGAGATAAACTCTGCCACTTGTGGGCTAGATCCCTTCCTCACCTGGCTTGTAGTGCTGTTGGGGTGGGTATATGAGATTGCTGGCTGGCACAGGCTGGATTGTGAATATCTCATTGTGGGAGGGAAAAGGAAATCAAACAAAAAATCAAATGCACAGTACAGTATATGTGGTACCTTGCTCTATAGTAGTAACTGTGAGAGGATCATGGAGTCGCAGGGGACAATCACTTAAATACGAACCAGCAATGTGTGGCAGCAGCCAAAAAAAACCCAACAGAATCCTAAGTTGCATTAACAGGGGGATAGAATCAAGATGCAAAGTATTAGTACAGCTTTATAAAGTTTTAATAAAACCACACTTAGAATACTGCATCCAGTTTTGGTCACCATATTATAAAAAAGATGCAGAGACTTTGGAAAGAGTGCAGAGAAGAGCAACAAAGATGGTTAGGGGGCTGGAGCAGAGGTGGTATTCAGCAGGTTCTGATCCAGTTCTGGAGAACCGGTAGTGGACATTTTGAGGAGTTCAGAGAACTAGCAAATCCCTCTGACTGGCCCCGCCCCCATCTATTGTCTGCCTCCAGAGTCCCAGCTGATTGGCTGGGTCTTCTTTGGTTGCCCTGCACAGGAGAAGGGAGCTGGAAAGCAGGTTAGTGGGGTGGGGAGGGAATGGAGATTTTGCAGTATATTGTTCCCCTGGAGTAGGGTAGAAATGGGGATTTTACAGTATCCTTCCCCTGCCATGCCCACCAAGCCATGCCCACAGAACTGGAAGTAAAAAAAAATTGAATCCCACCACTGGGCTAGAGGCTAAAATGTATGAAGAATGGTTGCAGGAACTGGGTTTGTCTAGTCTAGTAAAATGAAGGACTAGGGTTAACATGATAGCATTCCAATATTTATGGGGCTGCCACAAAGAAGAGAGGGTCATCCTATTTTTCAAAGCACTGGAAGGCAAGATAACAACAACAAACAGTGGGTGGAAACTAATCAAGGAGAGGAGCAATCTAAAACTAATAAGAAATTTCCTAACATTTATTTGTTGAGATTTGAAGTTGCCACTTGATTGACCATTCCGATACATAGTCGAGGTCTTTTTGGAGGGTAGTAGTATTGTCTGTGGAGTTGAATAGCTTTACATCATCAGCGAAGAGAATGCAGTTGCTCTTAATATGATCACAGAGGTCATTTATGTAGAGCATGAAGAAAGTTGGTCCTAAAACACTGCCTTGGGGGACACCACTGTTGACAGGTCCAGAATTTCATAGGACGCTCCCAATTTTGACTATTTGTTGTCTGTTTGACAGGAATGCTTCTATCCAGTTATGTAAGTGTCCAGAGATACCATAAGATTTTAGTTTTAGTTGTAGTTTGCTGTGTACCACTGAACCAAAGGCTTTACAGAAGTCTTACATATTGGCAGAAAAAAATCAGAAAATAAAATACAAGCTGAATAGTCAAGACCTTGTTGACAATCCAAACTTTGTCAATGACCTTGGAGTACTCATCTCAAATGATCTAAGTGCTAGAGCCCACTGTAACTCCATAGCCAAAAAGGCGTTAAGAGTTGTTAACCTAATCTTACGTAGCTTCTTCTCTGTAATATCACACTACTAACTAGAGCATACAAAACATTTGCTAGACCTATACTTGAATACAGCTCATCAGTCTGGAACCCATATCATGTATCTGACATTAACACAATTGAAAAAGTCCAGAAATATTTCACAAGAAGAGTTCTCCACTCCTCTACTCATTGCAGAATACCTTATGCCACCAGACTTGAAACTCTAGACCTAGAAAACCTAGAACTATGCCGCCTCCAGTCCGATTTAAATATAGTATATGAAATCATACATTGCAATGTCCTACCTGCAAATGAATACTTCAGCTTCAATTATAACAATACAAGAGCACACAATAGATACAAACTCAAGGTTAACCACACCAACCTTGATTGCAGGAAATACGACTTCAGCAACAGAGTGGCCAATGTTTGGAATTCTCTACCTGACTCTGTGGTTTCTTCCCCAAACCCCAAAAACTTTAACCTTAGACTGTCTACTATTGACCTCACCCCCTTTCTAAGAGGCCTGTAGGGGGCGTGCATAAGCGCACCATCCCACCATCCCTGTCCTATTGTTTTTTATTTTTCTTATAAGTATCTATCTCATGTATTCAAAACTATATTTATTCTTATACCTGTATCTTGTAAGTGATTGACAAATCAAATAAATACTAAATACTAAAAAAACAATTAACCAGTGGAACGGCTTGCCTTCAGAAGTTGTGGTTGCTCCTCATAAGTAGTTTCTCATAACTAATAATACTTTAAAATATAAGTGAAATGGGGAGGAAGTAATTGGAAGCAATTAAGCAAAATTTATAATTGTGCCCATAGAAGCATGATACCTATTTGAAAAGGAATGTGTAAAATGTTTAAGACTTAAATGAATATTAATTTTAACGATAGAGTTTAATTGCTATGGATTATTGTTTTAATTATATTATAAACTTATAATTTTTTCTTATTTTAAAATACAGTACGTAGCTTTAGAATGTACTACACAGAATCCGAATGAAAATTATGTATTATTTTAAGTGTTAAATTTAGGGGAAAGAT